ATACGATTTTAACACATCTCTTGCTCCGCTTTCATAGCTTTTAATCAATTTCCTAATATAAGTATTTTTCAAAATAGAAAACCGCTCATTCGTCTTTCTTATTGTCATTTTCTTATTTCTTAAAGATATAATCTTTTCATAGCTTATTTTTGGCATCAAAACAGATCACTTCATCAAAATTGATCCTTGATATTCATCAATTTTTATCACGATGTAAAAATATTCTTACATCGTGATCAAAATGTAAGAGTTTATTCTTACATTGTAATTTTGATTACGTGATTTATTTTAAGGCTAAAAATAAGCGTCAAGCGTCAGCATAAAATTAATACTTTAACAGCTATAATAATATCGTATTCTCTTCATCCTATTTGTTTATCTTCTCCATATTTATTTCTAACAAAACACAGCTCAGAAGTCTCATTGATTGCTCACAATTGTCCGATATAGCCCGCCACCTCATTATCCAACTATCCGAATGACTCACGAAAAAACAATGTATGAAACGAGCAGCTTTATAAAACAGGAAAGATTTTAAACTCAGTATTTAAAAAATAATATATACTGTTTTTGTATTGATGAACTAAAAATGAAATTCGACTTACAGCCAGTTCCACAACTCACGGTTAACTCTTAATCAATTCAACTTATTCTTCATCTCTTTCTAATTCTTGAATATAATAATACAAACACAGAATAGAACAATTATGTATAACCTTGTATAACATTTATATAAGTTATGTACATGTTATATAAATATTATATATATTTTGTGTTTGCTGTGTACATATAGATTCGAAATTAATTAATTAATTATGTTATTGTATTAACTTATAATTAATATATTATTTTTATAACTTTTTTAAATAAAATATGTATCAAGCATCTATGATCGATATTAACATAGTAATAATTTTTGGCATTACAGTTTGATAAGAATAGAAGTATATAATTGTTGGTTAAATTATTTCAATCTGCTTTGAATTTATTTTTTCATCCAATACTTCTATCCTTCCAATATTTTCAATCAAGTTAAACACTGTTAAACACGCTACATTATTTAATTTAAAGTTCTCGAAAATATTTTCTTGCGATTGAAGTTTTCGCAAAATTCATTAGATCATGAGAGAGAATCCAAAATTAATTAGATTAAAAATTCAGAAATTATTTTATATATTATCACGTCTTCAAACAAGTACTTAAAAACATTATTTATCTAAATGTATGTTTGTGATCTAATATACAAATATTTAATTGACTTTACATGCTTCTTTCGGCACGCAATCTTTATATAAATATTTAATTTAATTTTCTAAAGACTGTAATAGATTGAATTTCATCTTTTAAAGAATGATCTTTTAATTATTTCAAATGACGTATCATTATCTATCAGTTATCCTTGAATTCGTCATTCTTTTAAATCATCATTAATTTTATGTTCAAGTTCTAAGAAATGTCTTGCACATTTGTCTCATATATTCTACTTTGCTATTGATCTTAGCTCTTAGCCTTACCGAAAGGAATGGAAACATATGAGGGCTTAGATTCTTCTAGCATCTTGAAGATATCAGGTCGCAATATATTTAGCGCACTGCAGACAAACCATAAGAATAAAACAAAATAAATGAACAAGAAATCATGAATCTACATACTTTCGTATTTCTTTTTTACACTATCATCTATTGTAAATTCTAACTGCACCCACTATTCGCGTGTCTCACATATGTACGTGTCCCAGAGTGGGATCATGCGAGGAGCGTTCACAGAATGGCGTGTAAAGACCAAGTCGAGCCCGATCTCGCGCGATCGCTGGACGACGACAGATGAGGACCTACTGCCGTCGGTCGGCGATGACGACGATGTTCGACTAAAGTTCATCGATCACCCTCAAATCTTCGGCGAGGGCGAGATCGAGGTCTGTACGACGACGAGTCGTGAATTGCCTTGGCAACCAGCCGTCAAAACATTGTGTACGTTAATAACGTCGACAGAGTGCGATCGGGAGAGCCATCCGACCAGTCACTCAGTATCCTGTGAATCATTCTGCCCTGCGACGACGACCGCGACGACGTTGGACAATCGGTTGGGTACGATTGGAGAACGTCGGGTCCGCGACTGAGATGGTCTCCGGCGTGAAATCCGCTCGGTATCATCATAATCCGGGATGTAGAAGCTGACGTCAACGAGAGTGCGACTCCACCGGGAACCAACGCCTCCGGGTCGCCGAAGCATGAACGTGGGGAATCCCCAGATCGTTTGTCTCGCGCTCACCGTCATCGTCTTCTTCCAAAGAGGTCGGTAGACGATTAGATACCGAAGTAGTTGCGATCTTCCGAAAATAGGCAATCTTTCTTAATAACGAGATCTAAAGAATGGTACTATCTGCGAATCTCGCGCGAACAAGATCGATAACCGGATTGCACACATTGCTTTCGAGGACAAGTTGTTAACGTGCGACGTGTATAGTTCGTGCTGTTTTATATATAAAAATAGCTTGCTTTGGTGCCGCTCGAGCTCCAAGACCACCTTGTAGATCACAGATCTCTCCTCGACATGAAAATTTCCTGACGACATAAAAATTCTTTAATATTCACTCCTTATCAATGGCAAGTAAAATTTGGATTCTAGAACAAAACGCCCAAACGAGATGTCAGATTGCCAAGTTTTATTTATCGCATTCTTCATTTTCTGATATAAAAATTCTTAAAGGGATGCTGGAGTAATTATCGATATTACGTGTGAAAATTTCCGAATTGACTAAACAAAATCAAAAATCCTTTTACAGGATTAAACTAAACGCAAAATTAGGAGGTGGACTTTATGCTAAAATTAAAAATTTACTTAACTTTTTTTCGATTTTAATATAAAGTCTACTGCACCATTCCCTAATATTGCGTCTTTAATCCTGTAAAACGATTTTGTATTTTGCTCAGTTAATTCGGAGATTTTTTTATACAACTATAATGTCGATAATTTGATCACTTCAGCATCCCGTTAACATTTGTTCCTATCATTGACAAATGAAATTTTGTATCTAGAATAAAACGTTCGAGTAAACGAGATATGTCTCAAACAAAGATGTTAGATTGCCATAGTATTATTTAGTATTATTTATTGCATTCTTAATTCCCTGATATAAAAATGATATAAAAATCCTTATCACTTGTTTCTTATCTAGAACAAAACGATGTTTCTCCAAATACGAAAGATGTCAGGTTGCCAAGTTTTATTTACCGCATTCTTTTTCGTTTCGTTTTACGAGTGTAACTTGCCTGTTCTGTAGGGTGGGCCATCGACTGTTTCAAGTGTGTCTCGATCGATGGCGACAACAAACCCTGCGATGACCCATTTCACAACAATGGGAGCCGCGCTTTCTTGGAGTCGCCCTGCTTAGGAGGTAGAAAAGGCCGGGATGGCCTCTTCCCAGCGACCGCTTGTCTCAAGATTGCTGGTATATATGGTAATAAATCCAAGTTACCGTGACATGATATACTATTTTTATTCATTTTTTCTTATATCTTTATTATGTTAAAATCGACCGTCTCTTACAGAAATCCAATTTAAACTCAAAATTAATCACTTATACCTTCTAGTATTAAATCTCTGTAAGAGATGAGAATTTCACATTGATAAGTATATTAAATTGTATCTTAATCAACTTGACAATTCATTGACTTGGCCAATTTAATAAATTACTGGAAATTACTTATTTTGTTAAATAAGTTATTAATTATAATACTAAATTAATTATTTTTATTATTATTTAATACTAGAAATTATGTCTTTTTTATTAAACTGCTTTTAATATTCAAAATAAATAATTAATTATTATCATTCAGTGTTAAATTTTTGTAAGAAGTGAGAATTTCGTGTTGACAAGCATCTTAATTGACGGCTTAGATGAATCCGGTGTGACCTTGATGGTGAGGGGTTGCGCATTGGATAGCGGAACCCTGACAACGGACTCCGAGATTATCAGAATGTCCCACTGCGGTGGTTTCTACTTCGACGACAAGTAAGACAAACTAAATATCGGAAATCGAAATTTATTATTTTTAAACATTCACGAATACCTCGTAGGTACGTACGCGGATGTGTGCAATCTTGCAGCGATGCGGACGCGTGCAACGCGTCGTCGAGGAATCTCGCGCCGCTGATCGCCCTTGTATTGCCGATTCTCGTGGGACTCGCGTGATCCATTTACACTCCGCGACGCGAGTGCGATCAGACGTTTTTTCGAGAACTGGCCGATTACAAAATTCATTGTTAATACTGAAAATCTATAACACACGTTATGAGCATTACAGATTTTCAGCATTAACAGTGAATGCAGAAGAGATCGACGGACGACATTGAGAAATTACAACAGCGAGCGCGTTGTAGTTATTAACGATGATCTTTAATCATTAAATCTTATAATACGATGCATTAAGCAGACCACATAGTGAATATACTGCCAGATTTTAATTAATAAGCTATAGTCTTTCTCATTATTTTCAAGCAGCAATCCAATTCCACGCGCCATTTACTCTAGCTATCACTGGTTATATATGTGCGATACATTGATTGTAATTACAGCTTCATATTGCTTCATATCAATAAAGCAGATTTTGAAATTGTTAAGTGAACCCTCTTATTCTCTAGCCGGTATTCATAATCTGTTCTTATTTTAAAATTGTCTTAATATTGAAAAATATTAATTAATGTGATTGGCTTATCACATCTTAAGAATGTACTTACTTAAGATAATCTTAAATATAATAACACATCCCCCGACTACGAATACCGACCTTTGTCCTTTTTCTCGTAAGAAATATGCAGATAATTTCAGACAGCGCAAGATGTAAGCTCCATGTTGCGCTTTTTGTTTTATTCAAATTAACCACCTACTCCTCTAACTCTCTCTGTCTTTCTCTATTATTTTGGATGATTGACACGACTGCTTCAGTTTTAATTCGTGAAATTTTTATAAGTATAAATCTTAACAGCAATGACCGATCATGAAAAACCGAATATCCAGTATCTCCGATCAATTTGTAAATCTTTTGTGGCGACCCGCTTGTTGGATCTGGGAGACCATCGAGCTCATCCTCATTATCATATTTGATTGCTTAGCGAGGCTAATTGAACTAGTATTCGTGATGATGAAATTAATATTTCAGGTGATAATAATGCGCTTATACAGTAATTATATTTTAAATATATTGTGAGTAAGATTGTATATCTATCAATTCGAAACGAAGGTTAAACAGATAAAAATATTATTTAAAAACTGGAATTAAAGCCACATTTTCTAATTCATTTCAAGTGATCGGAAATGTGCAATAAAAAGAATAATATATGTTCATATACATCCTATTTGAAGAAAATCTGTAAGAATATTAAATAACTGGATTTTTAGGTGATCTGCTTTGTCAGAGATTTGTGCATCGACGCGATGCAGACCTTCGCCAATGTTTTTCAAGGAATTGTTAATGTCATTAGCAACATCAGCTGCGATGATGTCGAGGATTTTGCTTCTGCCTGCATTGTCATTGCCTTGTGTACCGGAGCTGTTAAGATGTTCATGAATCTTCTTAAGAGAGTACATATCAAGTATCTCGCGATAATCATTATTGTCAACAATGGCTGACGATTCGCATATCCGATAATCCGAAGGGTTAAGAGTCGCTCGCAAATTAGTAAACAATCGCACTTATTAAGCTCAGTTTTGAGCTCCACAGAAAGTACATAAAAAAATTGTTATTTTTATGTCTTATATCTGAGATATCCGAATTTTTAACGGTTTCAAAGATTTCAAGTTTCAAAGAATGTAATTCCATTTTACTTCCCAATCGAAACCAAAACGGGACTTCCCGCACTTAAAAAATAAAAAAGGAAAAATCTTTTCTAATTTAAGTTACTTTGTTTATGCAACAATTATCAAAATTTTTTATAAGATAAAATATATCTTAAGAATACGTCTTGTTTTGGCCGATACTGTTCCTCATTGTCAACATTATATTGTGCGATCGCTTGCAAATGTGGTACCCTGCTTTTTAGAATCGTCAAACAAAGCGAAGTGCAGGTACTTTAAATCGTGCGCGTGTCTCGCAAGAAATACCGCTGCCGTTGGTGTGACATGGGAAAACTACGGTGCAAAAACCAGGTAAACTACTTTGTAGACTACTCTTGCGACTGATATCAATCAACATCTAGAGATCCGCGCGTGGTCGCATGGTGCATTATCTGGTTTTTGATCCGACAAAGCGTCGCGTTAAACATTCATTTAACGCGGACGTTTTTAACGGCTCTTTGTTTATATTTTACGTATAAATGCAAAACTTACCCAAACGGCGAGATTATTTCATCATAAGAGTCGGAATGCAGAAAAAATTAACTTATTGCTGTGATTTGAAGATTGCAAACTTGAAGATATATATACCGCGATTATTTTCGTAAAAAACGACCGTTCGTATTCAATGCTTTGATACATGTGATTGATTTCAATGTCATATCGATACTTCAGAATCCCCACACGAAGCTGTTCAATATGTTTGGGCAACACGTGACACAATGCGGCAATAATAACAATCTGATGGCGAGGAGTCACAGCCAGGATGCGTGTCTTTGCGAGAGAAAGACGGGCAGGAGGCCAAAGAAACGAAATAACAGGCGATATCGATCAACGTCATAAAAAAATAATTGATATAATTACGTAAGATTTTCGTTGTGAAGTACGAATATCTCTATAAGATATATTTACATAAACGTTTATTATATGTAACAATGTGTAAGGCGCATCTCAAATTTCGTCGTAAAATAGCATATACAATTTACGTCGTATTATGTACATAGTGAAGTATATATAAAAAATTTATAACACTTTTTTACATACGTTTTTGCGTATTGATATAACAATATGTCAAGTTAAACAATCTAACAAGCATTGTAGAAATTTTTCATGTATATAAGCATGCATCAATTTGTAAAAGAGAGACGTTGGAACGTTTATATATATAGAAAAATACATCGTTTTATGTAAAAAAAAAAAACACATCTGGAAACATGTGCAAATCTCTGCTTTCGCACATTGATGAACATTTAAATGCGTATGATAACATTTATAAATTATAAAATTTTACGCTAGAGAGTCATGGGAAACGTCGTAGTTATAAATAAAAAGATTCGACCTACAATGAGGCTCGATAATACTTTCATTGTCCTATCTTTAACTTAAATATATTTAATCAGAGTGAAGAGTAATCTTCGTGGATTGCATCATTGGACAGTTTAATCATTGATGATGGTGATGACTAAATTATGTTCTGGCCAAGAAAATGTCTTTGGCAATTGGATCTGTAATAACATATATTAAAACATATATAAAATATTCAGCAATACTCAATATCGATTTGTTCCAAAATAATTAAAACTTCTTAAATGCGTATTATCGTTTTAAAGCAATCTCACGCGTTGTTACCTTATCTGGCGCGTTCAGAACTTGAAACTCTTCGGCCATTTTCTCGGACAACTCTTCCGAGAGGAGTACCTGCAGCCACGGTCCTTGAACGACATACGGCTTCTCTTTGGACACAAAAGTGCCCGTAACAGACGGCGCGACTATCGTAACAGCCGAGTGGGACAATATAGATTTGAACGTGAAATGCCTCCCATGCATCACACGACCCCTGCAGTATCAATATTACATTATTCATCGGACATTGCTGTTGCAGCTCTGCCGCACGAATTTCAATTCTACCATGACTAACTTTATTGCCAACGGTAATAACGAGCCAGCTTCAAGATTAAACGTTAGATGTAGTCCGGGCAAAGCTCTAATACTATTCTCGTCAGAGACGTTGGCGTCTTGCTGCTCACAAGGCGACAGTCTCTCTGTCTTCACGATCGGCTTCACGTCCTCGTCGTCATCGGAATCGTCCCTTTTTTCCCTATATCTCTCCATGCTTCTGTCGTTTGTTATTTGCACCCACCTACATACAAATAATACCCATTAGATTGAGATATTGAGAGATTGAGATTGAGATTGAGATTGAAATTAACCAAAAAAAAAAGGAAATTAATATCAAATTTAGTAAACTTACTTTGCTTTGATAAATCAAATTCAATCTCAATCTCAATCTCTAATCTGATATGGGCATATGGTCTTAAACTCAAATTCCTGATTCTATTGATCAGATGTCATAACTTACCAACATTTGGCGGATACACCGCTAGTATTTGATCCATCTCTCTCAATGCCGCACTGTATTTTCTCAGCTATGGAAGGATCATCCTCCATAGCAGAATGCATTCTTCTCATGTCGGTGACTAACCACGGGCCACAGCCTCTAGCGCTTCTTAACAGATTAACCACACCCAGACCGTTCCAGTGTTGAGCTGCCTGTAGTTCCTCAGAAGTAACGCCGACGATTTGAACAAACGAGACCTATTTCCAACAATAAAGGATCATAACGATGCAACTCATTTTCGCTATTTAAGGCAGATTCTCTCTTTTTTTTTATTTAATTCGCGATTTAGAGCTAAATAAATATAATGTGACTAAGTTATAAATTTTATTTATCTGTAGAAATCTTAAAGAGTCTAAAAATCATTAAACCATCATGTTTTAGAAATACGTTTAAGCCTTTTATACATACGTCGCCGTGGGGTGTCGAGATTGACGTCGGAAGCTGCGGGTCCTGTCCCATCAAAATCTGGGTGATACAACCGTTTCCACCGTCCAATGGAGCATGCCAAGAGACATGGTCGCCCGGCATCAACGTATTCCCGGAATTGAAAACATATTTGGCCAATTGCTGCATCACGTTTGCCGGCCACGTGGGCGGCGTCGTCTCGCCCCTTTCACGAGCCAGACGAAAGGTCAACTCGAATCCAAATCCGCTGGCGCGACCTGAGCCAGGTTTAGGATGCAATCGGCCGTCACCGTGTAAATCGGACAGTCCTAAACTGCATTTAAATAAACGGAGTATAATGTAAATAAGTGTTCCTGTGCCATGTTTTTTTTTTGTTATGCTCTTATTTTTAAAAATAATTTCTGAATATAGTAATAAAAATAAAATAGCGATAAATGAAGGGAATATTTAAAAAAATAATACATGCAAAAAAGAAAGATAACTCAATGATATCTTGCGTGCAAAAAAGTACGTAGACTTTCCGTCAATGGCAAAATATAATTAGCCGGCGCAGACGAAAAAGGGGAAGTCCGGCGCTTCTATTTCCGACTCCTCGCGATTTAAACGACTCTGTTCCTCCTGCACCCTACACACTCTCTATATATAGAGAAGCACGGAGTAGTATTAGGACAGCTGTCTGAAATTGAAGAAGCGAGGGTCGCCGACGCGAAGAAAAAAGGGAAAGGAACCCGCACCCTTTGGCGGAAGATCATTCGTCATTCCGCACACAAATTCCAATGAAACATTGGAATGAAACGTAGCGTCTACATATTGCGCATCTGCCATAGTTTGTATTCACTTAAATTTAACAAACTCGCAAGTCTTAAATTATATCCCTTATTTCATACAAGCGCATCCTAAATAATATATTAAAACTCAGTTTCATAACTCATGGCTAACACTTAATTGAGGTACAACTTATCTCTCGTTTCTTTCCAATTCTAGCATCAGAAAGAGATGAAGTTGGTTCTTAAGTTAAATCTTAAGCTCAATTCTTAAGTTAAACCTTGGTTAAGAGTTAACCATGAGTTGTGAAACTGAGTCTAAATCCTAAGTAGAAAAATAAAAAAATAAATCTAACGTTAAAATTGTTATATGAGATACTTCATTTTAGACAGTCCAAGTTTCAAAGAATATAATCCCTTTATTCCCTAATTGGGATCCCCAAAACAGGACTTCCCCTGCACTTAAAAAATAAATAAATAAAAAAAATCTTTTCCAAGTCATCTTGTTCTACAGATGCATTCAAGAAGAAGATTTGAAAATTTAATTCCCTCCCCTGAAATTTATGATTAAAAGTTATAATTACAAAATTTGATATTTTCCTATTCTCAGAAACGAGAGAAGAAAACATTCTAAACTTTAAAATGTTTAAAATTCATTTCATAAACACAATTTATTAATTCAATTCATTAACTAAAAAATTACAGTTTATACAATAACAGAATTGATAAATTTTTATAAAATTGTTTCTTATAATCCTTAGTTAAATTTTAAATAAAACTGTGGCAATAAATTGCTTGCTTCAGATCTTTAGATTCTAGATAAGTCGCACAGACTAAAATATCCTGTGAATAGATCTTAAATTTGACACTAGTGTAAACATATTCTTACCTGATATAATGCCAATGTGGAGGTACTCCGAGATCGGGATATCCTGAATTCGCGTACATACTGATATAGTCGAGGGGATCAGGTCCTCCTAACCTAAAGGGAAAACTCAAGTCAGCTGACAGGATATCCGGTTTTACGTATGTAAAAGGGGAGGCTAAATATAGTCGTTGTAATCGCTTTTTCTCGCGAGGGAGGAGTGGAAAAATTGAGTTCCCATGCTTCTCGGAGAGAAGCGTATCTCTCGTACGATTTAAAGCAATTTCAGTGCATTGACTCGATAAGAAAATTGATACAACGCTTTGCAGGAAATTCTATCATTCTACCCGATAGTCAAAAAATAATAGAGAATTATGCACAAAACAAGATTAATCAGATAAAATAAAATTAATAACATAAATAAAAAACCCAATTAAGAAAATAATTGCTAAGAGGCTTCGAAAAGACACAAAATTAATCGACTAACAGGACATCAATCGTCACGCCAAATATTCAAGCCACCTGTGACTCTCGGCAAAACGAACAAGAGATTCCCCGAGATATTCTTTGACGAGAACAATCGGCATCGTCACCGTCGCCAGGTTCTTACCAATATTTCACAATCGCCGTGACTGTTAGCGGATTGCTCTGATCCGGGTAGATCTGCTTGCAGAGGCTGTGCAAGGCGTCCAAGCCTGGAGCTCGTGGCGACGGCGGCGGCGGTGGCAGCGAGATCTGGGCCGGCTGGCCCGGTAGAAAACACCTCGATAACTCCTCGCGTTCGCGCATATTCACGCCGTACATAAAACTCCGATGGTGCACGCTGAATATACCCGCCTTTGTTTACCCGCAACGATCGCCGATGCTCACACACGGAACACACAGAGTCACGAACACACCAGCGGGAACAGCACTGAACAGCACTGACAAACAAAAGCGTGATCGTTCCCAGCGCGTGTAACGTAGACGGGTGATCCGCAGGCGAATGGGAAAAGCAACACGACCTCGAAAGCAACGCTTTCTATAGGAGTTTAAAGTTACTACGCTGTCAGCGGTGTCAGCTGGTGTCAGCTGGAGCCCATCGTGTTTAAGATAAAGAGCGCCTGTTCTTTTTTAACAGAATTTCTGAAAGAAGTTTTTAGAACGCTCCTCAAGCAAAACAACAACGAGTCAAAATGACGTTAAAATAAAATGGAAATGATTGAAAAATGACTTTTAATGATCATTCTGGAGTCATTTTCACATCATTTTGATATCATAATAACTTGTTGTTCTGCTTGGGCAGATCCTCAGACTTTTTACAAATTAAAACATCAATCATTTTTTTCAAAAATGCCGATAAAATTTATATTACGTCTTAACTACGTTTATTACGTCTTTTCTCAAATTTTGTATACATATGAATTCTGAGATATTTCAAGATTTCCAAGGTTAAAGATTTTTTAGCTGAATGTCATGCACGAGGTTCATCTCTTCTCTTTTCCTTTTTAAGTTAAAGAAAAAGAGAGAAAAAAACTTTAAAAATTCAGGTAAAAGAACCTCTTGAATATCTTGGAATATTTCAAAATTCACATATATAAAGATACTAACTTTCAAACTGTTCAATAATTTATATTGAAAAATTTGGAAAATTTTCTGAAAAATTATACACACATATACACATTTTTTATGTGTATTATTCTCGTTTAATTTTTCGCAATCTTTATTTGAACTATACATATCTCGATCTTTTATCATCTCTGATCCATAAATAACAATGAAAACAGTTGTAAATAAATAGGCAATCGTTTGGCAGAAAAAGCAGTTTTGCAACTATGTAAAATTCTTTAATAATTACAGGTTCTTTTCCTAGAACAATCCTTCTTCATTAGATTTAAATACCTACATAAATCATGTTAAAAAAATCTTACAAGTGCAAACCTGTTTTTGCTGAATGCAGCTTTTGATTTGACAGATGACTGCGTTCAATCGAAGTGACCAAAACTCAAAACGATCAACAATGCCATCATTTTTATTCTTCTCTCGATACTTCAATCGTCGATGGTCCATTGACATTCCATTGCTGATCACGTCATTTCACGACCTTTTTCTAGAAGCTTCTCAGATGCGCCACTGAACTTCTCGACCGGCGCTATTCTCAGTTTGTGAATCGGAGTAAATCAGTAAACACCAGGTGGTGTCCTGTGTCCCGAAAGGGACGAATATCTCGTAGGAAAAGAAGCGAAGAAGAAGAAAAGAAGGAGGAGTAGGGAAAAAGTAAGGAAAAAGAAGAGGAGTAAACGCGGAGATCATTTCCGCGTGCCACCACTGGCCACCACGGTGCTTGCTTCGGGTACACATCCGTGGTGTTTGCATACGGCATATGCCAGTTCGCAGCAGCTTCGGCGGCCGGCAGCGTGAGCAGCGGATCTGTGCGCGCAAGCGTGACACGGGATTTACAGCATGGCGGAGCGCAGGAAAAACAGGAAGCGCAAAGATGTAAGCGTCGCATATGGACGAGAAATCGTGACGGCACGTGGCCCGCTAATTGTACGTCGCGATCAGCCGACACTAAACGCGACTCGCATCACCGTGCGCGATCGCTCTCGATCTGTCGATTTGCCAAACGTGTCATCTGATAAGCGCTGATCCGAGTGACGTAGACAGATACTCTCGAGATACTTCCTACGATTCTCTCGTTCAGGGTGTCACGAAACACGAATTTACAGACGATCGTGAATTTACAGTTAACATTTCCCTTGTGTCTGTCAGATTTGAGGCGAACGCACGTTTCCCTGCATCCTTTCCCTGCTGCATCTTTTCTTCATGAACTGTCTAATGTTGCTATTGTTTTTGTAACAGGAACTAGCCAGTCTGGATACTAAAGGCGCTCAGGACAAACCGTCCAAGGAAGAGTACGCGGTAGCTAAGTGGATCCGCAATAATGTACCGTCGAAGAAGACCAAATTCGATAGGACTCACAATGTGGAGTATTTCACTGGGTCGCGTGCAATCGATGCCCTATTGGAAAATTCACCTTGGAGCACGGTGTTCGAGAATCGTGAGCAGGTCTCCCAGTTCTTGGATCTGATGCTCAGGCATAAGTTCTTTCACAGAGCCAAGAAGGTGGTGATATCGGAGGAAGAACTTAACAAAATGCGGGGCATTAAGAAGAAGACTACGAAAGAGGACAAAAAACCCACAGATAAGGAAGATTCCAAGGAAAATAAAGATGCAGTTGTGGTGAAGGAAAAGGAAGAGAAAGGCGAAGAGAAAATTGACGAACGGAAGGAACATAAGAAAAAGCCAAAAGTAAAACGTGAACGTTCATTCGTGTCGCTAAAATTTATCTCTTTGTAAATATGACATGTTTGGTTTTCAGGTGAGACTAGAAATGCACATGGAACAATACTTTGTGGATTGTAATGACGCGTATGTGTGGATATACGAGCCGATTCCTGTGTATTATTGGTTCTTTGGTACGCTTGTAGTCTTAGGTGCAATAGGAGTCTGTCTCTTCCCACTGTGGCCCTTAACTATCCGTCACGGAGTTTATTATCTAAGTGTCGCCGCTGCGGGATTTCTCGTATTTATATTAGCACTGGCTATCGTTAGAATGATTGTATTCTGTCTTCTGTGGGTACCCACGTTGGGTAGATGTCATCTATGGCTGTTACCTAATCTTACAGCTGACGTTGGCTTCTTTGCGTCCTTCTGGCCATTATATCAGGTTACCAGTTGATTATGTTCCTTTATCGACAGTGACAAACATTTAAATTTATGGTGCAAAAATCTTTACAGTATGAATATTATGGTCCCACGTCGGACGGCGATAAGAAGATCAGCAAAAAGAAAAGAAGGAAAGAGAAAGATTCTGATTCCGAAGATGCGCCATTAGTTCAGTAAGTTTTGAGATTCATATTTGATAGACATTTTAGTCTAATATGTATTGCTGATTCTATATTTTTATGTTCTTAGAGAAGAGAAAGAACCTGTAGCAACGGAAGCGTCTAACGAGGAGTTAGCTTTACCTAGCGAAGAGAGGAAAACTTCATCCGATTCAGCCGAAGGAGAAGACGGCAGTGAGGAAGGTTCGGAGAGCGAAAAATCTAATACGAGTCGAGATTTCGTTATGGTTTAAAACGTGGAAACCGGGCAGTAGATAGTTTCATGTTTGCTGGGACAAACAGCTGGGACAGCTGTATTAATTATCGCATTAATCATCACTGAAATCGATATATGCTTGCGGTTAATTCGAATGTCGAATTCGATGTACGAATCTAAGAAACAGACCGTAGCAGATTCTCCACATTTATTGCATTTAAAAATACGATCAGAGATGAACGAGAGATGAACGAGTGGGAAAAATCGCTTGTGACTTTTGCATGAACAGAATTTCCCGTAACTGACGTGAATGTAAAGTATTGTCTCCAAAAAAAAAGCGTAAGCGTGATATAAGGCATATTTTATTCTATACATATATAAATATCTATATAAACATTTGTGTGTATAATGAAGAAATCGTATTAGGTGTAATTTCGTTATCAATTTCCGTTGAATAAATTATGGTACTGTTCGAAGTCTTCAATCTATCTCAATGCGATCAATGTCTACCGACAATGTAGTTAATATGCACCGAGTTCTCTCCGTTAGATATAATCTTTAAATTAGTTCTAGGGAGAACTAATTTAGCTGGAAGAGAGGGAATCTTTACGGGTACAGAACTTGACGTTTTCTTCGTTGTTCAGCGATTTAGCGCGAGTTCCTTTTTAGCAGAAATTAGATTCGATTTTACAGATGAATGTATATTTCGAGTTTAATACAGATAATTTATATTTTTATGCGAAATTTCCAATAATAATAATTATAATTACTATTATTATTATATTATTACTTTTACGATTATTATTATTATTATACGATTATCAGGATCTGTAGGTCTTGTGAATCCGCTCGTGAAATTTATCTATATGGAAATAAAATAAAATAAAATAAAGCGTTATATATCTATTAAATGGTCATTATCTTGACCTACAATCCCCATGTTAGATTAAAATTGATTGGCTTTGAATGTCATCTTCTGCAGCATCGCGTTGCACATAGCCGCGTAAGGATTCAGAGCGACCAGCTGCGATTTAGCAAAGCTCGAACCAGCCTTAGCCGCACGGGTGAAATCTTCCCTGGCCTTGTCATCTTGCTCCATCCAACGATAAAGTGCACCGCGTTGACAGAGTGCTTGGATGCCTGCCCTTCCTTTGTTTTCGCTCAGTTCAACCGCCAGATGCAGATCCTTTAATGCCTCTAATAACAGTTTGAATGATAATCAAATGTTACAATTCTCTTCTCTAAAAATTTGTATAGAAATTCATTTTTGCAACTAAAAATACCTTCGTGTCGATTCGCCAAACGTAAAGCTTGCGCTCTGTCGTTTAAAATTGACGGCGATTTAGGTGCCTTCTTCAATGCTTGGTCAAAAAGCCGAAAGCATTCGTCGAAGTTCTTCGCTTCCGCCCAGGCTATCGCCTTCTTTATGATGTCCAGTACATCCGGTTCTAAGCGATCCTCCTCGAAGACATCCGTCTCTTCTTAATGAAATATTAAAAAAAGATGTGTATATTACGCATAGCGTACATAGAAAGATGTCTATAATTGATACTTCAAATATTTCAATTGTTTTCCATTTCAGAAAAAAATACCTAAAAAATTTCATCATGGAAATATAATGTAAGAATTTTTTTTTAATACGTTGTAGTAAAACATTAATATTATCTATATTTTTTTAATGAAACCATACAATTTTTCTTACATAATATGATTCTTCTAATCATTCTATATATAATAATACATTGACAATGGAATTTTGCCTGTTTTAATTGCAGATTGCAGACATAAAAATAATTATTGTTTACATGTGTCATAACCCAACATCTAAATACTTAACTCATGAAATATTAATTTTTCTTGACTTTCTTTTATTACTTTTACAAAATAATTGGCTAAATTAATTAATACAAAGAATACATGTAGCTACTTTTAAGAAGAATTGTGCAATATAAATATTACATAATTATCGTATGTCTATGTTTATTTCGATATGACACTGCAGTTTATAAGAAATTGAATGACAACATATAATTTTGTTCACTCTGCAGATCATAGCCTTGAAGATACAACAACAAGAAACTTTATCTGTTCTCACATCGTGCAGTTCCTTGCATATTCATGATGATCTGAATGTCTCGCGTGAGAATGGCTCGCGCCGGAGTAAACTTCGCTTCAGACGAATGCGGTTACCCGCGGGCTTTAAGCGTTCGCAGATTTTTCGAGCGATCTGAGAAGTCTGCGGTTTGAATCGTGTCCAACTAGTGTAACAAGTGTCTCGACTACATCGTCATTAAGATTGAATGGAAATCTTGGCTTTAAATCGCACTTGACAGAGAAGAATAAAAAGGACCGCTAGATAATATATTCTTCAAGATTAAACTGCACTTAAAATTTATAAAGAAATTCTAATTCGTATTTTTTGACTGATTAATAATAATAACTTTATTACTGTCTATAATATCTTATCGTAAAAAGAAAGTTTGTCATTTTGATAGATATGCTCTTAATAAAAAAATGATGTATTAATAGCATTGTTTTGCCGACAGCAGTCAAATTGAAAATATCTTATTGTTAATTCGATAACAGTTAATAAAACAAATACGCCATGCTCTTGTTTTAATAAACTTCAGATATTTTTATAGCTCAACGGCGAAAAAAATGTGAATTGTTGTAAAATTTGGAGGAAAAAAACGTTATATTAATTAAAATCTTTATTTTTAGACTATGATAATAAATTATTTCATTTTGTTTAATATTTGTGTGTGTGTGTGTATGTGATTTCCACTTTTTTTCAAAAAATTGTAATAAAATCCATATTCATATGATTCTCAAATACTAATAAATCGGAGAGAAAACAATCAATAATATATTATATACTATTAATAATAGTTTTCAATTAGACTGCAATTAAATAATGCCGTTAACACAATATTAATTTTCCGTGTACTGTATTATATTGTCATTAGCTACGTACCAACCGTACTTTCCTGGAAAGTCGAGAAGTCTAAAAAATCGAACGGGCCGAGCGATTGAAACGGATCGAAGATCGTCTTCAAGACAGCCTTATCACCTTCGCTCAGATTCTCCATGATGTCGACTGAATCTCAATATTTCCATCGCGTTCGATGGAAACTCGTTTCTATTTATTCACGTGAGTAATCACATTGCGTCATAGATTAAATAGATCCGAAGAATGTCGTCCAACTAGCATGTCGTAAATATATTATTGATAATCCAATCCCCTGAGATAAATAACATTTTGTTATTTCTAACTTTCATGCGAGTTAAAATGTGAATCAATCCATTTTTGTGATTAGTTTTAACTTAAACAATATTTATATTAACATACATATTTAGTAAATAACTATTTCAGTCAAAAATACTTTCTTTTGAATTAAATTGTTTATTTCAATTATTTTAATTAAATTAACATAATATAATGAGTAGGAACAAGTGATTTATAGAAATAATTAAAAATAACTTAATAATATTAGGTACAGAAAGGAAAATTTTGCACAAACTTCTAAAAATTTAGCTATAAGTACAAATTTGAAAATAATTTTGTTGGACTATTCAAATAATTATACATAGGACGCTGAAACTGGTTGCTAAAATGTCAAAGCTTTATGCAGTATCGCTCATCATGAAATTCTTACGTAATTATTTTGATAGTCCAAAATTATTTTCAAGGCTATATCTATCTAAATTTTTCATTTCCGTATATAATTTGATATTATACATGTAATATGGATTAATGAAATTCTATTATATACACGGACGGACGAATGCAGAATCAATCATGTAGATTTTTCAGGATACATTTTATTTGAAAAATAAACGATTCATGGAATCGTTTTATCCTTGTTGTTTATCAATTGTTAAACAAGGACAAATAATGCTCGCGAGCGTGTGAGTGTCAAAAGAACCTCCAATAGTCGCTATTCAGCCATTTAAACGATTACACAAGTATCGAGCAGCGCAAGAACGGATATCAATTCCAACTAATTCCGCAAGAAGCCGGTATTGAACGTCAATAAATCCTCGAGCAGGATTTTCAGGAATGCGACACTCGTGATGCAACATGGTTTACGACCTCGTCGCTGAAGAGACAAAAATCCAACTCTTAATCATGATTAATTCATTTAAATTAACATTTGACTTTTAATTAACTTATCCCGGTTCCGTGTATGAGTCCACCATGAGTCCACTATGAGTCCAACAACTCGTTACGCCATACAAAAATCATTAGCCGAGTGAAGGCATCGCGGGTGTCATTAATTTCGGGAATCCCTCATAAATTATGCTTGACGCGACCAAGACATATATCCGGGAAATTGCCAGCTGGACGTCTAATCGCTATATATTTCTCACAGATCGTCGTAACAGTAAACGTGCGATTTGACGCGCGGTGAGGCGGATTATACGCTCGCGCAATTTGACGGGACGGGCGTAACCGCGTGAGAGACGACCGGGAACGAGTCTCGAAGCCGGTTTTCGACGAAAATCGACTACGGGACTCCGCGGGACCCGTTTCTTCGTCATTAACTGCGCGCGCGCTTGCTCGCGAAGGTTCGAAGCGCGCGATTTTTCACGATTCCTGGCGTCGCTGCGACTCCGTTACCGTTACCAGGGGACTGTTAAACGGCCTCGTCGTCCAAGCGGGCTTTCCCACGGGTAGAGTGGATCGCGAAGAAACGGGAGGACGTTGAGGGTTTTCCTTCATTATGAAAGCCAAAGCGTGTGGCCGATGAACTTTACGAATAAGCCGTTCGTTTCAGGACTATTTGACTCGAAGATGACCCGCGATCGTGAGATATTGCCTCTCATCGCAAGAACAATAGGGCTGCCAGTCTTAATTGGTCCTAACTGAAATCTGTATTTTATTGAATTTTAGGATTTTAAGCCGAAACATAAACCAGGCATATCTTGGCGAAAATAAAGTAATTTTTATAGACACAATATAGAAAGAGCCAACGCAGACCGAATTGCAGGAAACGAAATTTCTATAGTAGGCGAGAATTGAAACGAAATATAAAAGAGGTATTTTATGCTTCTTTTACGTTTCGTTGTCTCAATTTTCGCTTTCTAGAGAAGCTTTATTTACGCTTCTGTTACTCTCTTCTTATATCTGACTTCTGATTTTTATTTTTCAGGGTAGACTAAGTCAAGCGATTAATTAACTTTTTAGGCGAAAACGTGAAAAGTGAACAATTTCTCCATTATCTACAATCCTTACAGAAATTTAATACTGGCGAATTTATAACTGGAAAGACAGTAATTAATTACTTATTTGGAGTACTAAAAGAACTGAACAACAGCGTTAATATTTAAAAACAATAATTAATTACTGTCTTTTAGTGGCTAATATTCAATTTCTGTAAAGAAATGATAAAAATCTTGATTTTTCATGTTTTCGCCTTAGAAAAAAATTACATGATCGTTATAGAGTTTAGATCATCATTTAGATTATCGTGTA